AGAGCAATGGCATAATCTCAGCTTGCTGCAACCTCCACCTCCCAGGTTCAAGCAATTCTCCCGCCTTAGCCTCCCGAGTAGCTGGGATTACAGGTGCCCACCACCGCACTGGCTAATTTTTTGTATTTTTAGTAGAGTTGAGGTTTCACCATGTTGGCCAGCCTGGTCTCAGACTCCTGACCTCAGATGATCCACTTGCCTTGACCTCCCAAAGTGCTGGGATTACAGGTATGAGCCACTGCACCCAGCCCATCATTGAATTTTTAAATCGACACTGGTGTTACATTTTTGAAAGTCTTTTCTTCCTGTTGAAATACCATACGAACTTACTTTCTAGAAGTGGGGAGAACATTCTTACGAAAGGTCAAGTATGTTACGATCTGAGGAAGAGAGCGATCACTGTAAGAGCCTTCATGTGTGTTTCCACTTGCTCAGACTGAACACGGGCTGCTTACTGGTGTCATTCTGGTTTTCCTAGATATAATTTCTGAAAACTATGAACTGGAACACCTGAGTCCAACCACTAATATAATTATTACTAATTACATTATAATATTAATATAATTATATTGCAAGTATTAATAAATAATATATAAATATATATCATTTATATATACTTATAAATATACAAATCTATGTATATATTTAACATATATTTATATATTTAACTATACATTATATATGTATAAATGTTTATAATATATAATACAAATGTATATAAATATATAAAATATATTTATAAATATGTTATATTAACAATATATTTAAATATATTTATAACATAATATATATATTATATATTTAACAATATATATTTATATATTAATATATACTTATATAATTTTATAATATATATTTATATTTATAAATATATATTAATACATAAGCAATATAGAGATTTATAAATATATAAATCTATCAATATATCAATATTGATATATTTAATAATTTATCGATTTATCAATATATCAATATTGATATATTTATATTGATAGATTTATAAATATATATTATTAACATATTATTCATAAATATTTATTTATTTATTTATTTATTGAGGAACAGTCTCACTCCGTTGCCCAGGCTGGAGTGCAGTGGCACCATCACAGCTCACTGTAGCCTCAACCTCTTGGGTTCAAGCAATCCTCCCACTTTAGCATCCTGAGTAGCTGGGACTACAGATGTGTACCACTGTGCCTGGATAATTTTTAAAAATCTTTTGTAGAGATGTGGTCTCAGGTTGGTCTCAAGCTCCTGGCCTCCAGTCATCCTTCCACGTTGGTCTCCTAACATGCTAGGATCACAGACACGAGTCACTGTGCCCAGCCCTGTAAAACATTTTTTTGTTAAATGAATGTATCTAAAAGTGATGATGCTTTTCCTAGTTATGTACAGTATTCTTTTTTTGTAAAAGATGCTAGTTCCTGCTCAAAGAGAAAGAAATTACTCTCCTCTGAAAGCCACACTTGGCAGCAAGATTTCTGGCTGGTGAGAAGCAGCATGAGCCCGGACACTGCAGCTGGAGTGGCAATGCCTAGCTCTCAGAGAGAGCTGCTCACAGTGACTGCATGTCCATGTATTCAATCGTCCATCCGTCCATCCATTCATCTGGTCAGGTAAATACTGGTGAAGATCTGGGTTCACAAAGAACACAATACCCTTTTTCTCCAGAGGACCACTGACACAAAACTATTTGAATTAACATTTCTACCTCCACTAATTTGGCAGAACAAAACAAGTTCATAAACCAGTATACAGGCTGGTTGTCCAATTGCTTAGCAAAAAAATATGAAGCACATTAAGTATTGAGGAACAATAAGCCTTTCTCTGATTTTTAAAAGTGTTTTGTGTGGCAATCCATGGCATAATAGTTTACGTAGAATTTAAGACACACATACTAAAGAGCTTGTACAGAGTCTGGGAAGGACGACAGGAGAGGCAAAATTGAACAAAATATAAGCACTGGCACCTCCCCCTCTTTTAAGGAGCCATGGCATTCAACAAGTGTTTGTTAAATGAGCCACTACCATATGCTCAACACCGTAAGACATGTGGAGATGACAAAATACACTCTTGATCTGCTTTAAATCTGGTGAAGAAGTCCGGGGGTGTTTGCATCCCAAGTAGCACAGCATGGGGCCCAGCACTAGGCTAAACACGGGTGGCAGGCATTTGGAGGAGAGAGCAATCGTGAGATCTAAGGGAAGGCTTCCAGAGGAGGGCATACTAACCGGGACTCTCAAGTCTGGAGCATGAGCAGGCACTTGAGAGGCAGCCAGGCAAGAAGGGGTGAGCACCGTCAACAACTTGGAAGAATCTAGAACAATGGCTCTCATGGTGTGGATTCCAGCAGCAGCAACTTTTAAAAATGGAAATTTTCAGGCCCACCCAAGACCTACTGAGTCAGCAACTGTGGGGATAGCACCCAGTGATCTGTTTTGAACAAGTTTTCCAGGTGATTCGGAGGCACGCTCAAGTCTGAGAACCACTGAGGTAGAGCAGGTGCTGCCCTCCCTTAAACTGAGTAAGCAGGAATCTCAGGGCTTTCCTCCCTTTCACCCTCCTGCAAACCAGTGTCTCGGGAGCTAGGCAGCCATGGAGTGTGTGGAGGGCTGGGGGCTGACCACCGTCTCCCAGGCTGCTCAGAAGGCATGCACTGTTAAGAACAATTACATCTTCCACTGGCTTCACAAACCTCTCTCATGCATCTGACTTCATGGCCTGGACTTCTAACAACTGGATACTGGGAGGCCCGGAGGCAGAGAAGAGCTAAGCAGAGGAGGGAGGCAAATAAACCTCTGTGAGCCCAGAAGTTTGGTGGTGATGACATGTTTCCCCCAGGCTTGCAAAGCCTATACCTATCCTATAACCAGAGTTGCGAGCAACTCTAGAAGGCAAAGTGGCAGTTGAAATTCCACTTCTCTTCCAATAAGATTGCTAGAAAGAGCAGCTGGAATATTTTGGAAATTGTTATTGAGCTAACGGAAATGTTTGTAGCCCGAGAGACTAATAGAATTTGCCAGTGTGTGTCTTCGGCTCTCCTTTCACCAACCACAAAGTGATGTGCAACCTTTGCTGCTCCACATCTTCCCCATTTGTATAGCTCATGTTCTTTTTGGAAGCACTTTCCTTTACCTAAGCTTTTTCTTCTGATATACTAGCTTCTGGGCTGACCACAACACTGAAATGGTCCTTGCTAAGATCATCAGGACTGTCAAATGGCCCCAATATATGTGTGTGCAAAGAACCTTCTATTGTCAGTCCATAGGAGAGGGTGCAACATAGAGAGGCCTCACCAATTCAAATGGCACATGGAGGCAGTTGTTAGATTGATTCTTGAGAGATGCTTGTAGAATGACGCAGGTGAACCAGCTGCTACTCAAATGGGTTCACACGCACCTGAGATGACCACAGCTCTGTATGGACTGGGTAGCCAGCCTCCCACACACCCATGTTGCCATCTGCCTCTATACTTGAGGCTGGGGATTGTGTTTTTGCTGTTGTCATTGTTAAGAAAAGCAAATAAGCCATGCTATAATATGGGTGAATGTTGAAGACATCATGCTAAGTGAAATAAGCCAGTCATAAAAGGATGAATCCTGTATGATTCCACTTATTGTGGTACCTGGAGTAGTCAAATCCATAGAGACAGAAAGTAGAATGGTGGCTGCCAGGGGCTGGGAAAGGGGGGAAATGAGGAGTCACTGTTTAAAGGGTGCAGAATTTCAGATTCACAAGCTGAAAAGAGTTCTGGAAATGGCTGTACAACAATGTGAACTTAATGCCACTGAATGGTACACTTAAAATGGTTAGGATGGTAATTTTTACACTGTGTGTATTTTACCACTAATTAAAATTTGTCTTTAAAAAAAGGAAATTAGCTCTTCTTGTCTTACTGCAGCATGCCTAAATCAATAGGCAATAATCCAAATAACAATGAAAATAATGTTGATTTGCATACTTGAGAATTATTTAGGTGCATTCCATTATCATCTACTATTTACAGATGAAGAAAGCGAGGTGAGAGGACAGTGTAGCCAAGCTCCTACTCCTCCTATGAATGAGGTGGGCTGAGATTCCAGTTCAGAGGCCTGTCTGACCCCAACACAAGAGCTCTGAAACTCATGCGACTTTCACCATGCCAACTTAGCTCATAAGAACAAAAATTCAGTGACTGTGTGTTGACATGTACATCTAAATACCTCTGGGTCACTGACCTGCCCTAGTGTGTTACACCAACATGTATAATACATATATATTTTAATATTATGGTAGAAAGTTCTGGCAATGAATTTACAGAGAAAATTCAACAGTTCCTTGCTCTGTGTTAAATATCTCAGGTCTGAAACACACAATGTCCAACTCTAATTTCATGGAACACATGTATCCAGCCAGTTGGCGAATGAATTTTCGTTCTGTCAAGCACATCTCAGAACACATGCCTGCATAAAGCATGTCCCCAGCCTTTGAGGGTTTTAGAGCTCAGAGACATTCCCGGCTCTGGGTTCCACAATAGGCTGTACTGTGAAGAACAGAGGGAGCCTGGGGTGTGAAAAGAAGCCCTGCAGAGCAGTGAGAGGGTCGGGGTTGTAGCCACATGTGAGATGTACACACTTGGGGCCAGTACAACATCCAGAGGGACAAAGAGGTACATGCCACCTGCATTTCCAGGCTGAAGGGCAGTTGGCCTTGTTCTAATGAAGCCTAGAAAAAATCTCTATGTGTGAGCAAGGTCTAAAGCCTGGGTAACCAGTCCTCATCTGCTAATCCTGAAACCCACACCCCGCCCCTCAACCTTGCACTCACTTCTGCCCGAGTGCAGAAGCAAGGACAGAAGTGGCCGGTGTCTTCAGATAATTTTGCTGGAGGATGTAAGAGGGAAGCTTGAGGGCCCCCTTCTCCTCTCCCTTCCTCTCAAGGTCTGTGGCAGTCAGTTCCCCTCCTGTGTTCCTTCCATAGCCGCCCCACACCCGCCCCAGGTGGTGAGAGCACAGTAGTACCTGGTGTGTGTCAGCGGACCCACCGGTCGCTCTGGCCTTCTTGGGGGCAGTGCACCAGGTCTGCTGAGAGAATTGGTCTTAGGTGGCCGAGGCTTTTTTGGCGGTATGGCAGGAACGGAGGGCTTCTGTAAATCCAGTTTTGGCTCTCTCTCTGGTCTTTCTTTAAATCATTGTTTAAAGAAAACAGATCTAGTGTAAGTGACAGTACTTAGATGCAGATTACTCATTTCCTGCTAAAAAAAAAAAAATCACTGATGCCATCTCTGAAGGCAAATATGGAAGGCCAAGAGCACCAGTTATTCTTTGTCAGGTTAGCAGAAGTCTTACAGAGCTCACTGCTCCCTCCCTTGCTCACCTTCACTCATGTGGATCCTTCGCCTGAAGCGCCCTTCTGACCAACCCCCACCCTCAGCATACTCCAGCTCTTCCTTGGAAGCCTGACTGAAACATGACACTGTCATGTTCACTTCTTAACAGCTCAAAGACAGACTTCCTTCCTTCCTCACCTGAGCATTACAGGGCAGCGCTTTACAAACACACTCAGACACTTTCTGGGTGTTTGCATGTTTGGCACGGCCTGTAGGCTGACAGCCCCTGAGGGCAGGGCCCATGTCTGGCCATCTCCTCAGAGCCATATGTGGTGGTGGCATGGAGCCAGTGCTCAGTAGAGGGCTGAGGGGTTTGGTCAGTGGCCCATGCGATCTGCTGGGTGTGCAAAGGAAAGAGGCCTGACATGTCTCAGGCTGGCCTCTGAAACGGGCCGTGAGCTAATAAAAGGGGGAGCGTTTTAGGGAACAATGAGTTCTGGATTCTTCTTGTGCACAGTTTGAACTTGGAAGGTAAACTAGGACTTTACAGGTATATGGTTTCCAAGGCTTTTTGGAGTCAGAGCTATTAGAATGAAGTTGAAGCCAGATCTTTTGGCTGAATGGGGCAGTTTTGAGTGAGGACCTCCTATTTTCTGTTCCCAACTAGCCTGCCCTGTGTGTGGTATAAAAAGCATACATCCACATTCTTCTTGATAAAGATGGAACTTCAAAGAGTTTCCCATTGGACCATAGGCAAGCTCCCTATGCTTACTTGTAAGATGGTACTCAGGACATCTTTTACTTGCAAACACAGACTCACGTTGTTTGGGTGCCCAGATGGTTGGCAAAAGGTTAAAAAAAAAAAAAACTCATAGGGGCTGGGTGCAGTGGCTCATACCTGTAATCCCACAGCTTTGGGAGGGCAAGGTGGAAGAATCCCTTGAGGCCAGGAGTTTGAGACCAGCCTGGGCAACACAGTAAAACCCCATCTCTACAAAAAACTAGCCGGGCATGGTGGCATGTCCTGTCCCTGTAGTCCCAGCTTGGGAGGCTGAGGCAGGAGAATTGCTTGAGCCCAAGAGTTTGAGGCTGCAGTGAGCTACAATCGCACCACCACACTCCAGCCTAGGTGACAGAGCAAGACCCTGTCTCTAAAAAAGAAAAAAAAATTAAAATAATCCCATCAGGTATTACTGTGCTCATCCCTACAATGTGGGGAAATATACTCCAATCAGGAATGCTGGGAACTCATTTTATGGCACACAGGGGACAGAGGAGGAAGGGTTCTGTTGAAATGCAAAGCAGGGGACATTTCTCCTGTGGCAGTAGGACAGGGACAGGAACTCCAGCAGCCTGCAGGACGAATAGAAAAGGGAATTTGTGCTGACCCTACAGGGAGACCAAGTCTCTAGGTAGGGCTGATTCCCTATTGCATTTGACCAGGGCTTTTGCCTCCCTGACCCACTGTGGCATAGAACAAGGGATCATGGGAGGGAAAGGAACCAGCAATTTGGGGTCACTTGGTCAGCCAATTAGGGTGGTTGTTCACATGTAAGCCTAGTCTGTATGTCAGCATGGACTAGTGCAGAAAGTGTCCCCATCACAGGGCCTGGCTATTACCCAGAAACTAGCTATCTATCCTCTATGAGGACAGAGGGTGGTATCTGATTATTTCATACCACACATTTTTTTTTTTTTGAGACAAGGTCTCACTCTGTTGCCCAGGCTGGAGTGCAGTAGTGTGATCACAGCTCACCACAGTCTTGATCTCCAGACTCAAGTGATCCTTTCACCTCAGTCTCTCAAAGTAGCTAGGACTATGGATGTGGGCCACCAGGCCTGGCTAAATTTTTTTTTTTTTTTTTTTTTTTTGGTAGAGACAGGGTCTTGCTATTTTGCCCAGGCAGGTGTTGAACTCCTGGGCTCAAGCAATCCTCCTGTCTTGGCCTCCCAAAGCGCTGGGATTACAGATGTGAGCCACTGTACCTGGCCATACCAATGCTTTTATATCAAAGAGTTATTCATATGGTATATACTCAATGGCTGTTTTTTTCATCAATCTGTGACATAGACCTGGCCTTCACAATGAGGTTCCACAACTCAACTTCTAACTGCTCACTGTGAAGGAAAGAGGTATAGCTTCTTAAGAGCTTGCAATGTTGGTAAAATTTTTGGCAGGCTGATATGAAATATTAAATTTCACAATAAAATTTCATGAGGCCACCAAGAAGCACCTCCAAATAATTACATTCATTAATTCAGCATTTCTCTTGTGACTTAAAAATAACTGCTTTTTAAAATGGAATTTGCTCAGCCTCCTGTTCATAATAACGTAGCACTTTTCCCATAAAAATGTGTGATCAATCAAATCCCAGACAGCTAATAAAATGAGTCCTTCTACAGTATGCAGATTTCTTTGAGAGAGACTCTCAAAACGGTAAGAGTGAAACACGTTCATAAACTTGACTGCAGGACACACATGAAGCTACTTCCCTGCCAATGACACTCCTGACCACCTTCAGGAGACTCCAGGGACCGAGCTGCTTTTCCCACTATTAACATGCCACCCCACCTCCTCCAACATCCTTGACCAAGGATATCTGTCTGTAATAACATTAGCCAGAGTCAAGGGTCCATCAGTGACCAAAGAAAAGAGCTTTCATTTGTTTATTTCTCTGGATGTGAATTTCACCAAGCCAAATCCATCTATCAACAGCGAACAAGCACCTTGGGACACTAGGCATGAAGGACGGGCTAAGCAGAAAATGACAGGTATACACTAGGCCCTAAAGGAACTTACACCCAACTTTGAGGTGTGGAAAGGGTGGCCATGGTAGAGACATCATGAAATAAAAGCAATGTGTTAACTGACTAGGCTGGTTATTTTTCAATTGATGAGAGATTCTGGTCCCACGAAGTACCACATAACCCTCTCCTACTTCCTTAGCAATAGGATTTGTAAAAGCAATCAAAACAAAACCATGATCAGCATATTCCAAAGAAAAATCAAATTCTGTGGGTATTCTGGACTAGCCATGTAACAGACAGCTTCAGCTCTTGCTGTTCTAGAAGTGCCAATGAAGAATTGCTTTCATACCTTTTTCTTCTGTTCTGTTGGGAAGCATTTCTGGTCTTTCAGGAGGTATCTTTTTAAGTTCATGTTTTCTCTCAGTGGTACCTAAGAGGGAAAGGGTAATAGTGATCAGAAAATGTTTTCTCTATTCATTTATTAGACACACCAGCATTTTATCAGGTAGGGCAAATCAGTAAGTTTTTTTCCCCGAGTTGGGTGTTAGCATTACCTGGCAAATAGGAGCTGTTTAGAAACAGAAAGCAGAAATCATCGCTGGCCTATGTCATTAAATTCACCTGCCTATGTATCCTTAATTTATAAGAACACCACTAATATTTTCTGATATTTAAGCCTAATTTCCTTAGGCATCAAAATAGTCACAGGAAATCACTGGGTGGGGGCAGAGAATGTGTACAAATAAATAAATGTCAGTTATCAAATAAGGGGCCACTGAATGTTGTATTTTACCAAAAAAAGGGGGGATTTCATAGGAGTCTGGATCCCATTTTGTAGCCATTTTAAAATAGGGCCTGGAATTATCTGACACTCTTCTCAGTAAGAGGTGAGGTCTACATCCCCTTGCCAGGAATGTGGGTGGGCTTGTGACTACCTCGATCAGTGGCAGGAATGATACTACGTAATTTCCAAAGCCAAGTCATAAAAGGTCCTGTAGTTTATGCTTTATTTGCTGGAATACTGAACCTCCATCTAAGAGTTAAAACTGCCCTGAAGAGGCTACATATAGATGCTCCAGCCTATAGCTCCAGCTGAGCCCAGCTTTCCAGCTACCCTTGTCAAGGGGAGCCAGACATGTGAGGGAAACATTCATCTTCGAAACGGATCCTCCAGCTTCAGCTGGTTCAGTATTCCCAGCTGTGGTCCCAGATATGAGCAGGGACAAGCCATCTCAGCTATGGCCTGCTCTTGACCCACAGAATCTGTGAACATAAGAAGATTGTTGTTTCATGCCACTAAATTTGGGGTCCTTCAAGTATTACATTTTTTCATATGTACCACTTAGCACTTAGTCTTTACCCACATGGATCTTTACCCACTGCAGCTGCTCCCTTACCTGGGGTTTTCTCATTGGTGCCAGTGGCCTAAGGCATGTAAGAGCACTTGAGAAATAGCTAAAGCACAAACCAGTCAAAAGTACTCCTCTTATGTATGGACTGGGTTGAGTTCTTAACAAATTCTTTACATGACCAGGTCCATAGATGGGTGCTTGGTATTGGAAATGTCAATTACCCAATCTCAGAGGGCAAAAGAAGTTAAAAAAAAAAATCCACCAAACATCTTTATTTAAATCCTCTTAATGTTTCACTACAAATTAAATACCACATCTCACTTCTGTCAATTTCATATCTGATTTTTTTTGATCAAATAATCAAACACAAGGAAAGCTGATGATAGAGAAAATATGAATATCTACCTCTCCATTACAAAGCAGTTCCCAAGATCATTCAAGCAGGATAAATGAGCAGTAATCGATGAAGATTAAACGCCATCTTGCTTTGCCCCACAGAGACCCATCATAAACTTTGGTAAAATTGTTTTAAAAGGGTAAGAATTTGCCTACCATATTACAATCTAGTCTCCTAACAACAATGAAGTCAGTATTATTCCTAGAGACACAGGAAGAACTGACAATCCTACTATATTGAAGAATCTAATCTTAGCTACATTCTAGATTGCCTGAGCCTTGGACTCCTCAACTAATCTCCACAGTCTCTGATTAACTACCAAGGCCTATAGGGAAAGGGGTCTTCAGAAAAAAGCAAATAAATAGCTTGCTTCATTTTCAGCAAAATAAAAATATATGGCCAGAACCACTAGGTGGCAAAATGAAACTGCTCAATGCAAACAAGGATGGGGGTGGAGCAAAAGATGTAATTAACATCCTATTTCAGGGCTTAATCTCTGTAATTCTCAATTATGCCAAAGGGAATGGAAAAGGAATTTGGGGTCAAGTTTTTCACCCTAACTTGGTGAGCCAAAAGAACTTAAAAATCACTTCTTAATAAGTTTATAAATAAACAAATCTGGAAATTTATTCATAATTTAACTGTTAAAGAAATGTCGTAATTGTGAGTGTACAGAACTACAAATACTCCTTTTCTTCTATTTTTGTTGTTAATCTTTTAAATGCCACTTAACTAATTATTCATGGAGGAATTTTTCCCTATAATTAATTTTAACAATTATAAAGAGGACTTCTATTGGGAAATATGAAATATGATTTTTATATACAAGAATCCAGTGTGCAACGAGCTACCAAATGTCCAATATCAAGTCTTCCTATATTATTTAACCTGAATAGCTGAACTACACAGAAAAAAGTCAATTAGATTTTTCAAAATTAAAAAAGAGCCATGAGAAAAAGTAGTTATTGCTAGAAAAACATCTTTTTGTTGGGGGGTAAGTGAAGTCAGTAAAAATTTTGGTTAACCACCTGAAACAGACACTGAAAATTCAGCAACACTGTATGCGCACAACAATGCTATGACCCATGGGAAACAATTTTCCCTAAGCTGACCTTCAGCTGGGCATAGGTGAAACTGGACAATTAAGTTCTTTTCTCCACAAAAGCTGTTTATTTTAAAAATCCAAACTTGTTTTTTTAAAAGTTCTTTCTGATCATCCTCTTTGGGAGCCTAGATTTTTACACTATACCAGGGTTACATTTTAATGGTATGTTTATCTTTTAGGAAAAACAGAAGTATCTTTAAAACCTGCCTGCTGAGATCAAATCGTTAACTTCCCAAGTTGTCAATATATGGCACTTGAACCAAGAATCCTGAACTCTACACTGAGGATGATTTGAATATATGCAAAAAGACTCACATTTTATTTGATGGAACTGAAAGGTACGTTACCTGCCCCTTGTTTGATGACAGGAGCGGATGGAGGTGGTGGCTTCTTGGGTCTCTGAAAAATTAATCAAAATTATACCACATGAGATTGTTGGCAAGCCTATCCTCTCACAGAAGGACCATAGACATTGTTTTCTATGTGCAGTTTGGACAATTTAGAGAACCTCTCCAAAAAAATTGAGCAATTCGCTCTCCAGGGAAGTCAGTTTTTGGCACCTCTAAATAAACGCTAAAATAAATCCAGTCGGCAAAACAAAGCTCCAATCGACAAATGAAATGCCATTTCCCCCTTTCTAAGTTTGTAACAGCCTTCTGGAAAAGCACAGCTCAGCAAAAATGGCCTGAAACCAGCAAGCACAATGGTACTCCTACGATGAAGCTGCATTTGCAATTAAGATTTAATCTGCTGAATAATCATGCAATTCGAAAAGAGTCACTGTAAAGATTCAAAATCGAATCTGCTCTGGATGTAGGACCTTCAACAAAATGCAGGCTAATGGCCTGCTGCAGCCACATCAGGTTGCAAGCCTTCTGCCCCTTCCTATGCCGAGTCTGGCAGGCCATTTGTTAGACACCCTACAGACTCATTGTACAACAGATAAACTGGAACAGAGGGGGTTTTTTTGTTGTTGTTTTGTTTTGTTTTTTTTGCATATCAGCCGTGATTTGTTTTTCTCACACCCTGTCACTCCGTAGGTGATGGAGGCAGCAATGCAATCAATGGCATACATCCCTGAATTGGTTCCAGGGTAGCCAGCATTTTCTTGTCATCCAGGATTGACTGTGGGAGGGAGATGATCAGGCTGGACTTGGCAAGTTATTCTGTGGCCAGAAAAATCCAGCCAGGGCACTGTTCTTTGACAGCTGTTTTAGGGGGAAGGGGGACCGAGGGCAAAAGGAGAACCATCTCAACATCAAAATCTTTAACGAAGGAAGGACGAGAATGAGGAGGGTTTGAGCAGAAGATCCACGTCACTGCCGACACTTCTCATCCTCTCTGGGCATCATATAGTTGTGGTTTTTAAAAAGCTCCATGGAGACTCTTCTGCTCTCTGAAAATGTATTACTGTGACATTACTATTACCACAGGGACTAGCCAAAGCACCTGCCCATCACCAGCCCTGAGCCATCAGTGCCTGATGCAGCACTGTGACAAGGAAAGAAATGGTATTAAATAAAACCCAGAGAATATTACACCCACAGGGAACTTTCTCAGGGGGCATCATAGCATGTAGGCTCTGGATTCAATAACATATCAGCTTTGTTTTTTACCAGCTGGGTGATTCAAGCCAAGTTATTCTATTAGGTATGGGCTAGGGATGGGGGAGTTCAGAACTTTACTGTCATTATAAATCCTGGCTCTTTCCACTATTACCCACAGACATGGGGCAAGTGACCTCACGGAGCTGAACTTTCTCATCTATAATCGGTCATAATATGACCTCTCTCTTAGGAGAATTTAAATTCATAAGCAGAAATCGGTAAGCACTGACTTGTTTAATCTGTGAATTATGATACCCATTTTGCAGAGGAAATAATTGAGGCTTCCAGAGATGAAGTCATTTCTTGAGGTCACCAGGTTAGTAAAAGAGGTTGGTGGGTGGGGCATGGCTAGGCATCAAAACCAGGGCTGTCTGATCCACAGGCGTACTCTTAGCCACCATGAAGAGTCCATCTTGCCAGAAAATATCCACACGACAAACCATCACACAGCCATGAAACCACACACAAGGAGTTTAAAAAAACACAGGGGGACTGTATTGTGTTAAAGCTGAAAAAAAGGGTATCAAATTGCAGCTACAGTATGAGCTCAACTAGGATGCAACATACACAGAAAGAGAGGAAAGAAATTTAAAGCAGTGATCTCAGATTCTGGGTGCATACATGTGCATGTGTGTGTGTCATTCTTAATGTTTTTTTTTTTCTGTATTGTCTCTACGAGTGCAGAGAAATATACTTTATTAAAATAAAGAAAGCAAGCTGCTCTAAGGACCACCAGCCCTTACATACAGGTGCTCCATGGGATAGATGTGTTTCTGCCTTATGGTCTCACATTATTCTTTCCCCTTTTGCCAGCCCCTTCTAGCTCTCCACTCTTTTTCTTCCTCCCTACTCTGTCATTGTGTTAATAAGACTGGGGACAGATGTGTGTTTACCTATCAAAAGGATCGGTGAGGTTCTGCTAGTTAACCTTCCTTTACCTTGGAATCAGAGTTCAGGCATATCTCGGAGATATTGCAAACTTGGTTTTAGACTACTGCAATAAAGTGAATCACAGGAATTTTTTGGTTTCCCAGTGCATATAAAAGTTATGTTTATGCTCCGCTGAAGTCTATGCAGTGTGTAATAGCAGTATGTCTAAAAAAGCAATGTTCATACTTTAAAAATACTTCACTGCTAGAAAAAACTAATGATCATCTGAGCCTTCAGCAAGTTGTAAACTTTGTACTTGGGGAGGGTCTTGCCTCAATGTTGACAGCAGCGACTGATAGGGGTGGGGGTGGCTGAAGGTTGGGGTAACTGTAGTAATTTCTTAAAATAAGACAACAATGAAGTTTGCCACATCAATTGATTTCCTTTCATGAAAAATTTTTCTGTATCATGCAATGCTGTTTGATAGCATTTTAGTCAGAGTAGAACATCTTTCAATACTGGAGTCAATCCTCTCAAATCCTGCCACTGCTTTATCAACTAAGCATATATAATATTCTAAATCCTTTGTTGTCATTTCAACAATGTTCACAGCATCTTCACCAGGAGAGGAGTATATTCCATCTCAAGAAACCACTTTCTTTTCTCATCCATAAGAAGTAACTCTTTATCCATTCAAGGTTGATCATGAGATTGCAGCAGTTCAGTCACATCTTCAGGCTCCACTTCCAATTCTAGTTCTCTTGCTATTTCCACTACATCTGCAGTTACTTCCTTCACTGAAGTCTTGAACACCTCAAAGTCATCCATGAGGGTTGGAATCAACTTCTTCCAAACCCCTGTTAATGTTGATATTTTGACGTCCTCCCATGAATCACAAATGTTCTTACTCGCATCTAGAACGGTAAGCTCTTTCCAGAATTGACTTTCCCTAGATCCATTAGAGGAATCAGTATCAACGGTAGCTATAGCCTCACAAAATGTATTTCTTAAATAATATTTGGAATGACTCTGATCCATGGGCTGCAGAATGGATGTCGTATTAGCAGGCATGAAAATGGCATTGATCTCCTTATACATCCCAATCAGAGCTCTTGGGTGACCAGGTACACTGTCAATGAGCAGTAATATTTCGAAAGGAATCTTGTTTTCCAAGTGATAGGTCTCAACAGTGGGCTTAAAATATTTAGTAAACCATGCTGTAAACAAATGTGCTATCATCTAGGCTTTGTTTTTCTATCTATAGAACAGAGTCAGAGTAGATTTAGCATAATTCTTTCTTTTTGTTTGTTTCTGTTTTGATACAGGGTCTCAGTATGTCACCCAGGCTGGACAGCAGTGTTGCAGTGGTATGATCACAGCTCACTACAGCCTTGACCTCCCAGGCTCAAGAGATCCTCTCACTTCAGCCTCCCAAGTAGCTGAGGCCACAGGTACACACCACCACAACTGACTAATTTTGTTAATTATTTGTAGAGATGGAGTTTCGCTATGCTGTCCAGGCTGGTCTGAAATTCCTAGGCTCAAGTGATCCTCCTGTCTCAGCCTCCCCATTCTGGGATTATAGGCCTGTGCTACCGTGTCTGGCAGCATAACTCAAGTGTCCCAGGATTTTCAGAATGGTAAATGGGCACGGGCTTTAACTTACAGTCACCAGCTGCATTAGCCCCTACCAAGAGAGTCAGCCTGTCCTTTGAAGCTTTGAGGCCAGGTACCAACTTCCCTAGATGATATCTTCTTCCAATAGAAGGCTATTTCATCAACTGAAAATCTGCTGTCTAGCGTAGCTACCCTCAACTAAGCTCAATCTTCTGAGTAACCTGCTGCAGTGTCTCCATCAGCACTTACTGCTTCACCTTGCACTTCTATGTTATGGAGATGGTGTCTTTCCTTAAACCCCAATAACCAACCTCTGCTGGCTTCCAACTTTTCTTCTGCAGCTTCCTCACCTCTCCCAACCTTCATAGACTTGAATAGAGTTAGGGCCTTGCTCTGGATTAGACCTTGGCTTAAGGAAGTGTTGTGGCTGGTTTGATCTTCTATTCAGACCACTCAAACTTTCTCCATATTATCAATAAGGCTATTTTTATTTATTTATTTTTAGAGATAGCACTATGTTGCCCAGACTGGTCTTGAACTCCTGGGCTCAAGTGATCCTCCCATCTTGGCCTCCCAAAATGCTGGGATTACAGGCATGAGCCACCATGCCTGGCAATAAGGCTGTTTTACCTTCTTATCATTCATGTGTTTACTGGAGTAGCACTTTTAATTTCCTTCACAAATTCTTCCTTTGCATTCACAGCTTGTCTGTTTAGTGCAAGAGGCCTAGCTTTTGGCCTGTCTCAGCTTTCAACATGCCTTCTTCACTAAGCTTGATCATTTCTAGCTTTTGATTTAAAGTGAGAGATGTGTGGCTCATCCTTTCACCTGAACACTTAGAGGCTATCATAGGGCTGTTAGTTTGCCTCATTTCAACATTGTTGTGTCACAGGAAATAGGGAAGCCCGAGGAGAGGGAGAGAGGTAGGGAATCACTCCATCACTCAGTGGAGTAGTCAGAATACACACAACATTGATCAATTAAGTTTGCCATCTTCTATGGGCACAGTTTATGGTGCCTCAAAACAATTACAATAGTAATGTCAAAGATCACTGATCACAGATTACCCACAACAGATATAATAATAATGAAAAAGTTTGAAATGTCGTGAGAATTATCAAAACATAACACAGAGACATGAAATGAGCACATGCTGTTGGAAAATGGCGCCAGTAGATCTGCTCCACACAGGGTTACCACAGCCATTCAATTTGTAAAAAATGTAATATCTGAAACACAATAAAGGAAAGCACAGAAGAATCAAGTATGCCTGTCATTTCTTATACACAAAACTGCCAACAACCT